TTCCAACCCAAACCATTTTATGATTCTATAAGCAACAGCAAAAGCATTAAGTCTTTCTCTATAATTTAGTTTTACAAACACTTGGAAGTCTTTCAAAATTAAGTCTTTTTAAATCCTATGTGAAAATGTCTTAATAAATGGTCTTCAAAAAGTAAAAGGAACAGAGCCACATGTAAGTAAGAGTAATCCCAACAGAAATAATGAATGAAAAAGTACACCCACAAGACACTCATTTCCTTCTTTGGAAACAGACACGAACTCACTTCTTGCTTAAAGACAATCTTGCTCCCATCTTTTTACAACTACATTATAATCACTGCCTAATCATTTTTCATAGTTGACTCAGTTTCTTATCTCAAGTAAACAGGTGCTGAGAGCTTGTCTAAAATAAGCTAAGACAACATAAAAGACTGTGCAAGATGCCTGTTACTGAAGTATGAAAGGAGCAGAATTTCAATGATCCATGAAGCATTTGCTAGACTATACTTACCATCCACAAGATGATGGGCAACATCAATTTTATATTCAGCATAGAACTATTTTTAAAGGCTGCTACTTGCCAGGGAGAAAAGCAGGCTTCTAAGTCCCATGTGCTTGTTTTCTTCTTTTGAAATACTACGGATATAATATATTCTCATTCAAAGGAGATATAAATGTAGATATAGATATTTGGCATATGTAAGTAGCTTTCTTAACATGCATTTACAAATCTTCCTTTTTGAAAAAAGGCCCAGAATTACTGCTAACATTTACATGCTTACTGTATTCTGCAAGAGTCTTCAATAATTTACACAGATGACTATCCTTGGAAGACAATTAAGTCTGCTAGGCAGTGTTCATTCAACTGGCTGGAACATATCTCTTCACAGCAGTTCAAACTCCACAGTCAAGATTTCCAAAAGTCTCAAAATGTGGGAAGCATGCGGAAGTCAAGAAGACACAACGTCTGGATTCGCCCCCAGATGGGGAAACAGACCAACCGATGGTGCACTTGTTAAAGGATGCTGTATGAAACCTTGGACAACAAATGAGACCACCTCCAGCAGGTTAACAGCAAAACACTTCTGGAAGTCTCAGATTCCTTAAAGCCTCTGTGCTTAAGGCATATCTTACACTTCTACAGTACCATTTAGTCAGAAAACCAACAAAGCCAAAAAACACTATTCAGACTTAAGCTGGCAGATTAGATCATTCCACCCACCACGGAAACACAACCGTCTGGTATAACAACATACATGATTACAAAATAACTGGACAAATGAAGAAGCAAATTATACACCTACTATAAAACTATAACTAGTTATATATAAATAAAGTTGCTTGTACAGATAATGCAATTCCCAAAACATAAGGCACAGAAGTCAAAGGGACATTGCCAGAAGAATTGTATCAACTATATCATTTTCATCTCAGATAAACCGAAATAGCAACAAATTCAACACCTTTTAAAATTATTATTTGGTGAGCTTTGCTGCATGATCACTGCTGGCTTTTTAATTTTCACTCAATTTCAACCACAAAAAAAGGCCTACTTTCTTTTTTTTTTTTTTTGGCTTCTATTAAAAAAGCACAATATGAATTGCTTGCATAACAAGTTTTGGATGAAGATTCCTAATGACAGAGCAACACCTACCTTTTATTTCTTATTGAAAAATTAACTATCAGATACAAAATAGCTTGCATAGCAGGATCTTCTTTCAAAAATTTAAGTGACCTAACTTTTACGTGAAGACCTTTTCTGGGGATATGCACATGCATTTGTTAAGCACTAAGTCAGTGGAGAGGGGAAACATGCCAGCTGCCAAGGCATGAATACCACATCACACAGCACCTGCTGCAAAGTGTTCTCTAGAGCTCTGCTGAGTAAGTGACATGATGCTGTCTTGAAGAGTTTAGGAAATATCACAGGATGAAAGGGTAAAGACCTACGCCTTTACTCTGAGTATGTATTCAAAGATTACCTCAGTCAACCAAATTCTGAGACAGCTTATTAGTTTATACAAAGCTACATGTACTCATGAACTCATGGCTACTACTTCTGAGCAACAGCAAGAGTCATTAATTATCTAATTTCATTGAAAAATCCCCACAAAACCCAGGTCATTGTACATCCTAAACAGTAGCTTTAAGAAACTCAAAGATGTTTGAAGGGATGTTTTGCCTTTCATGAAACTTAAACCCCTTAGATTTACTGTTAAAAATATGGTCATTTATCCATTTCAAAACCACCACAATCCCGTTCTTCGCAAGCAGTCGGAAGAGAACTGGTTCCATCTAGTGGCTGATCAGTTACAGACACTCAGAGAACTTTAACGTTTCCTGACCGTTCCGATTTGTGGCCCAAACGGGAAGAATGATACTAGCACCAAACACTGCACTTCACAACCTAATACAGAAAATCTGACAGCATTGCGATTGTGCAAAACTGTTCTAAACAAAAAAAAGAGATAAAAAATGACACACGGTTTTTATCGCAGCATTTCAGTGCCATAAGAATACCTTGCTAAATAGTGAAACCAAGACTCTTCCTACAGAATGTTATTTGCTCAAATGTCTTTTATGCTTTCTACTCTACCAATTAGAGATTAAGGTACTTGTCTGAGGCACTTGCAGGACTCTATGTGCTTTGGATCCTTGCAGACTTTAGTGGTATCTCTTGTTACAAATACCCATAGAAAGTGTAGTTGTGCTATCATCTCCATAGCGGAGAGAACTTGTACAGTAAAGGTGCCAATTATTAGCCTCTAATATGACAGCTCCCCTAGATACCAATCTTCTGTCTAACTCACCAAACCATCTTTTTACCTGCTGTGCCCAACACTGCCCCCTCATTCCTCTCCTTGTTCTGCTGCTGGACTATCAACAATATAACATCTGTGAAAACTAACAGCAATGAACAATTTTTAGCATGGAAAAAGCACTTTTAACAACCCACCATACAACACTGAGTCAGGCACGCTGTTTCACTTGAGCCTCTCAGACCCAGCAGGTGCTTTTGTAAATACATAAAATAAATGGCAGGACTTACCTGTGATTTGTGTTGTCATGGAAACGAGCAATGAAAAATTCAAAGCTGCCATGGAAATATTAACAGAGTAATTGGTGCCTGGCTGCAAATCAAAACAAACTTCTGGAGCCTGCTTGTGTGTAGTAAGGTCAAAGATCATTTCATGAAAGAACTCTTTCTGATACCAACGCTGGCCTTGCACATGAAACTGTAACCAAACAATCACAGCATGGAAATTTCAATGTTTCAATATATCACTTGCATTCAGTCATGTCATGATCTAAATTAGAAGAAATAGCAGAAAAACACACCACTCTATAGAGACTGACAAAAATGTTGGCACTGACAGTTACTCAAATTCAAACGCTTCCAAAATTTGACAGGAATTGCAGTCCTTCTTGATCATATCTGATGTTGTCCTAGTTCTTTCATTTCTTCTCCTCCTAGTCTATCCTCTTTTTTATTATAATTTCCTCTAAGTCTTGATTTCCTGCTAACAAACAGGCTTCCAGTAACAGTGCATTTTCATTATCGTACACCCAAACGGTGCAAAGTTACAGAAGTAAGCTCACAGGAACACCCTGTTTGACCCTAAGGACAAGCCAAAATCAAGTCATTCTGACCTATGGGAAAATGCTAAATACCCTCTCCAGAATCTGCTTACGGACAGCTCTGTTTCCAGGCAAATTTACAGACATGGGATTGTTTGGGGTTTTTTTTGTTTCAGTTGGATTTTCTGTGCGTTTGTGTTGTTGCTGATGTCCCAAATGATCATGACATTATTAACTTAAGACCTCTCATGGTTATTACTGTTAATGAAAACTAAAATTCTTGCTGCATCATAATAAGGTGCTAATTTTCCTCTAAATAGATCCTGTGCTTCTAGATAATCTGTGAGCACCTCTTAGCACAGATATTTGAGACAACAGCAGATGGTCAAGAGTCCTGGCAGAGACAGGTCATATAGAAATGCCTTCCTGGGTATAAGAGAAGATTGAAGAAGACTTATCACCAGGCAGAGGGGACTGTCTCTGTGGAACTGGAATAGAGTTGTCTGAGGCCTGAACATGACAAAGTTGAAAGTACACATAGGAAAGGCAAAAGAGAGTAAATAGGGTGAAAAAATAAATGCGAAATAGGAGAGTACAAAAGAGGATAGCGATTTCTTTCTTTTCTGAAGGTTGCTGTGCAAGCTTACTCCTTGAGGTTTTATGAGATGTTATTAGAATGAGGAACACTGCTAGCAGTGAGTGTTTGCAAAATTAAGTTTTTTTCACATAGGGGATTGTTACAAATTGTTTTCTAGATTCAAAATACAGATTATCACTTACTGAATATCTGTCTTCCACATCAGTTCCCCTGACATTTCTCCGCCATTTCAAGCAGGTATCATTAAAAATCAGTACATTATTGAAAGCTTCCTTTACTGTAGAGACAATAAAAAGTGGGAACACTTATTACAAAAACTTCACCTCTTCAACCTAATTGAATACAACTATCTGAAAATTAAAAAACCAAACCAAAACAAAACAACAAAAAATGGGGAGGAAGCTATTTTAATTCTCTTCTGAGAAGGAGGCAGAATCTGATTTCTTTTTGAATGAACAAACACAGCAAATAAAGCACGAACATTTTCCAGGGAAAACAGCTTTTGGAAAACCCAAGCATGCTATTCAGGAAATTAAGATATGACTTATTTGTTCAGACTTAGGGTGGTTATAACAACAGAATGTTCCAGGGGTTCAGACATTCTGATGGAAATAAAGTTATCATAGAACAATTTGTCACAGTTGATGCCCTTTAGGAAAACACGCAAAAAAAACCCATTTTTGTGGATTCCAAATGCAATTATTTGTCAAGGTCTGTCTCAGCAGAATTAGTATGTCAGACAGCGAGATTAAAGTTTCCATGACCAAAATGCTACAGAAACCTGCTATTAGTTTCCCTACAGTTACTGAAAAATGGCCAGAACACTGCTCATCACTGCTAAACATAGGAACATTATCCGTAATGCGCACTTTTAGATTAGTATCACACAGCTCAGCAACAGGGAACTCTCCTACAGGCAGAGAATCAGTTTTCAAGACAAGGAACAGAAACCAATAAGCACTGTACCATGGACTGAAATTCCAGCATGTAGCCAGGAATACCAA